AAAAGCACATTCGACACTCTAAAACATGATGCAATATGGCGAGCCCTTGCATGCAAAGATGTGCCAGAAAAAATGATCTCCCTCATAAAAGAATTGTACTTATTGAGTAATAGCGTCGAAGTTCAAACTGGTGTAAGACAAGGCTGTGTTTTATCACCGCTCTTATATAACTTAGTGCTTGACCCTGTAATGCGAGAAGCATGCGCAGGTATTGAATCAGGTTTGAATGACCGTTTGGAAGATCTAAACTATGTTGACGACATCTGTCTACTGTCACATAAATATTCAGATATATCACCAAAACTTCAAGCGGCAAGCAACGTTGGGGCACAAACCAGTCTAAAAATTAACGTCATAAAGACTAAGGCAATGAGAATCAACACCACCTCCAGATCACTGGCAGACCGCTGGAAGAAGTGGATGAATTCCATTATCTCGGTAGCATTATTTCAAAAACCGGCGAGTTAGCAGCATACACCGCCGCATTTGGTGTGCTAGACAAGGTATGGAGAGCAACGTATATATCAAGACGCACGAAGTTGAAAATATTCGATGCTAATGCAAAATCAGTCACGCTGACGCTTGGACCGCGACCAAACAAACACCTGTCTACAATTAAATACATCGCCGTAAATGAAATAGATCAGGCACAGGTTACGTAAGCCCCAAGACGACATCACAAGAACAGCATTAGAATGGAATCCTTAAGGGAACCGCAGACGAGGGAGAACAGGCAATAAGTGGAGGCGACAAGTCGAAGCAGAATTGCAGGAAACAGGCTGTTACTGTAGACAAATCGAATTTCTAACATTAAATAAACTTAAATTATCGAGGCCCTGTGTTCCACCTAGGCACTCTGGCAAAAAAAAAAAAATATATATATATACTTATATTGTCTAAAGCAACGGTATAATCTCCGAAACATTTTTTCATAGAAAGTGGCAAACTTAATATACCCTGTTTAGGGTATAAAAATGCATATGTGAAGGTCTTCGATGCAACCGAAGTTAACATTTTTTTTTTGTTATTTATCAATATATAAATGAAATTAATATCTGTGAATATATATCTGTGAATACCTATATATATACACTTGAACCTTAATATTGAAGATACGTAAGAACAAAATTAATTTGAAACTTAAATACACATGAAAGTAATTCGATAACTTTTTCAAAGATTTCCACCTTACGCCATGGTAGATAGACAATTATTTTATGGTAAACTACAACCAACACATACATAGCATAAGCTATCAACCTTTCAATGCAACCAACTTTAGCGGTGATTTTCAATTTGCCTTCAATTTACACACTTCTTAGGTTCGCACTTAAGCAAGCTCATAACTTTGCTTGCCTTGTAAGCAAGTGGGTGCGTATGTGCGTTCGGGCGCTTTTAATGGCGTCCGCGAGTTATAGAATCGCCTGCACGCATGCTTACTCTCATGCAGTGTTCTACAGGCGGCAACAAGCACGGCAACGGTGTTGACACCGGTGACTGTGATAGGTATGCAAGCTATGCTATCTTAAGTAAACTTTGTTATCTTTCGTATGGCCCAAATATTTCACTTTATTCATTGAGGCAATGTTTGATGTTATGACTGAGCGGAGGTATGCATGTGTGTATGTACGTGCATACTTTGTAATCAAGTGATAGTGACTAGTATTATAAAACAAAAAAGACCGCAGTGAATACTTAAGTATATTACAAAGGGTTATGAGGGGTAACGGCGACCACCACCAGGAAGTGAAAACCTCTCAGCATTAGCCGAGAAGCACAAATGCGGATTTGGGGCTATCATGTCTATAAATAAAAAACAACCAATCGAATGTTAAAAAACCTTTCCTTAAAGCAACAACACAACAATTGAACTTATTCCACACATAAATAGGTTTATACTTGATTGCGAGTAAATAAAGTGTGGCAAAAGAAGAACGTTGGAACAAATTGCCTAACCAACCTAAAAAATTGCTTGAAATTATTATCTCAATATCGCTTATTTCTTATTTCTTAAAACCCACGAGACAAGTGAAAAATAAAGTCCAATTTGTGAGCCGAACATTTTGAGCATTTTCATTTAGTTTTTCCATTTACTTCACATAAACTTCGTGCGGTTCACTGTCAGACGTTTGCTTGGTTCTTCCCGGCCACTCTTGGCATGTGGTTAACCAACTTCAAATTGCGGCAAATAATCAAAATATATTACGGTAAAAAAGGTTGTAAAAAACCAACAAAGTTCAGTGATGAAAGGGACAAGAGCGTATGAGCGGATAGCAATCTAATGAACCAGAGCAATGTCAGTTAATAACGTTTCAGATGAGTTGCTCTTAGGCAGACTTACGTAATACTCGTAAATGACTTACAACAAAAGCAACAGCATTCCATAAGGTACAATACTCGTTTAGCACTCAATATAAACCTTCAGTAAACAAATATGTATGTATGTACAATGTTGTGCAAAAAGTTTCGTTGTGTAAAGTTGTTCAGTTGAAAATATGAAAAAAGTCAAAAACGACAACATCACAGATAAATAGATAAATGGAAACATAGCACTTTAGGCAAAACTAAATGTATGTGCCATCAATGTGTGGCAGGCAATTCAATAACCGAGCGCAACAACTCATCGCCGTCAACGAATTTTTTGATTGCAACGTTCTAACATTCTTTCGGTAAATGGTAAATAAAAGATACGCGCGGCTACACGGTTATATCACAGTTAACATCCCGTACAGCATTCCGAGATAAAGCAGAACACCATATTTCGCCGTTTACCGAAGAAATTCTTTTCTGCAAGACTTGTTCGTATTTTATATCATTTCAGGTTTTTTGCATTGTGATATTTTCATAGAATTTTATTTAGCTTGCTCTTCTCAAGTTCATTTCTTCGTTTTGACTTCTTCGTTAGAATCTGCAAGACACTTTAAAAGCATAATATTTTCAGCATTTTCGGTTGTTGTGAACCGGTTTACACATGCGGAGCACAATGCTTAACAATTTCAAGTTACTTACCATACCTACTTGCTCTGCGCTGCTTGAACTTGAAATGCCCTGTTGGGAAAACTGAAACTTTTCGTTTTAGGAAAGATGTTTTTGGACATATTGATTATTGCTATAAATCCGTACTAATGAATTTATTGGGAATCCTGTCAAATAAACATGGTGTACATAGATCAAGAAAATTACTAGTTCATAATTAAAATATCTGATCATAAACGAAACGAAAAACACCAAATTTTTCTTAAAATTTTGGAGAAGTGGTACTTTTCGACCACAATTGATACACGCGAACTAGTTAGTCCCTCATTTTTTCAGATATCGATCTGAAATTTTACACACGTCTTTTTCACCCGAAGAAGCTGCTCATTTACGAAATCGTCGATAACGAATCACTATGCTATAGGCTGCCATACAAACTAATCGGTCGAAATCCAGTCTTTGTATGGAAAACTTTTATATTTAGCAAGATATCTTCACAAATTTGATATCGATTATTGCCTGCAGCAACGCTACAATCTCCTAACATATTGCTTATATCGGACCCATATAGCTTAGAGCTGCCTTACAAACCGACCTATCAAAATCAAAATATAGATCTTTTTAACCCTTTTTAGCTATAAAAAATGTACCTGTGAAGGGTACTACAGCTTCGGTGCAGCCGAAGTTAACGTTTTTTTAACCCCTTTACTTTCAGCTTTGTAAATATTCCCTGATTTGAAGCTTTTAAATAATATAGGTACTTAGTTACTTTCTTATAGTACGTAAGCAAGTTCCTAAACTAAATCCAGAATAATAGAAAATTAGATTACGACAGCTTCGTTGCGTTACTTTTTTGAGGTTCATTTGACAAATAAATTCTTTAGTTTCTGAAGTCATGAACGGAAGATATGTTCATTGTTTAACTATGCAAGTTTGAAAATTAGTTTTTTTATCAAAACAAATGTGTGTATGTAAATCTACATATGTAAAATTGTACAATATTAGAGCTTTAGTCTGCGGCGAGTTCATTTTCCAATGAAAGTTTTTCTTGAGATCATATGCCATTAGCATTTTATGTTTCCTGTTGAAGTTCCACAGTATTTCTTCTAAAAAGTAAAACGGAAAAAAATATATATGATACATTATTATTCGCTACTTCGCTGCAATATTAAGTCATTAACCCTAATCGTTTGCTAAAGCGGAAAGTCTAAATGTACAATCAGCGGTTCTGAAAGTAGCAATTTACGATCAAATGTATTTTGGTATATTATGTACATATTTATGTAAACAGAGAACTGTATATAATATGATTAATTAATAATTTTAAGTACATTCGACTTTAAGCTGAGATCAAAGTCATTTTTATTTCAATTCAATGATATTTATTCATTAAAGTGTCGGTATAAAGCAGCAAGAAAGTATTGGCAAATTTTGGACAAATTGTATCCAGCGGCTATGATGTAAAACTGAGCCGAAAACAAATGCTGCAATTTAATTGAGCTGTTAAAATTTTTACCCGATTAGCGCTAGTACCAAGCTAACTGCTGTCCCTAAATAAAAGCGGCAGCGGTAAATTACTGTCAAAAATTGCTCATGCCCAAAGATTTTCTATGGCGCATACCTAACTAAACACGGCGACAATGCTAACCGTAGAAAAATTAGATTTTGACAGCGCTTTAAGAAGTAAAGTTGGCAGAAATCGAAAAAATTTTAACTTTTCTGAAAAATTTCTCGACGCGCGATGTTTAATGCTTGTACAAATGGATGTAAGTACTATAAATAAATTAATTCGTTTTATTTTGTTTTGTTTTGTTAATTGTATATGTTAACGCTGAGCGGTAAAAAAACGCGCCACTCGACGCTTTTATTTAGGGACGGCAGTAACCAGTTCCTTGCCATCCTAGGTTGTAAATATTGTATTATAACACAATGTTAGGCGGAAAAAACCATTTTAGCTCCTTTTCCACTTATATTAATTTGTGCTACGTAAATAAATGTGAGCAATTTTAAAGTTATTCACTTACCAAGTAGCAAAAGTAAAACGAGCGTTGATCGGATGTATTTGCTTGATTTTCGTTCGTGCAATTATAGAAATTAAATCTGGAATATAAAGTAGATAAAATACATTGTATGATTATTAAATATATAACCGGTTTGAGATTTGCATTAAATGGTTACATGCGTTTCGTCGAGCAAATAGCGGCCTATTTTATATATATATACAAGTATATTTTTTTTTTCATTTAAAAATAAATAAATAATATATATAAATATAATATTTTAATCAAACTTTTTGTTATCCCAATCATTTCCGGCAGTCCCACGGAAAAAGAAGCTATAATACCCTACACAAATACAAAAGATTCCATACAAGATTTTGGTAGGTCAATTTGTATGGTAGCTATGTAATATGCTGTAGCGGTCCGATCTAAAAAAATTTCGTCAAGATACTTTGTCAAATAAAAAACTTTTCTATACAAGAACTTGCTTTCTATTGTTCAGTTTGTATGTCATATTATACTTAAAGACGATAGCGAAAATATGTACTTTATGTAAAAATATAGTGTAAATTGGAATAAAACGAATAATTATTATTCACCATCACCATCAAATGATTTTTCTCACAATCGTTGTGAAGACTACCAATTCTTCAGTACCAGTAAATTTTATAGTTTTGTTTAACCTCTTGACAGCTTCTACAATAGTTATTATATGGTGTTCACAGTCTACTGGTATGTCTACCAATTAGACAGTGACGTTTGACTGCTTGTCAAGCAAGTTAAGGATTTACTCGACCGAGACTCAGCTATATCTATAACATGTTTGTCGATTTAATATCTACAAGTAGCCAGAGGCATATATTTTCCCTCTTTTTCGGAGTCCTATTATAGGATGGTGCTTGCTCTGGCTTGTTCATCTGCTTCACAGTTTCCAGATAAAGGCATTATTTCACTATTTTTGATCAAACCCCAAGAGACTTTGGTGGTTTCAAAGCCGCTTGGCTATCTTTATATAAAAATATATTTCTTGTTGTGAGCACAGTTACCATAACAAGAAGGCCTACTTTAATTGCTGTGAACTCCGCTTGGCAGACACTGAAGTGATCTGATAGTCGGAAGGCGATTCTGGTATGTAATTTTGCTAAAATGACACCACCTCGAACTCCATTCTCTAGTTTGGACGCATCCGAATAGATACCAGCAAATTAAGATCGCCAAATTTCTATTTCTGAAGTTAGCAGCTCGTCAACAGTGTAAACATAATTATATTACTTTGTCTACAATATCATAATAAAAACTCTGTTTGAACAAGACTTCATTCGCAAATCGATAATAGTTTAAATAAGCTATGACGACTCCACACTACACCTCTTCTAGCGGTTCCAACGGAAAAATAACGGTAGTTTAGCGCTACAAATCAACATTCATAAAATCAAAAACTTCAAATAATTCCCACAACAATATGGTATGAGATTTGTTACTCAAATATGTTTGTATTTATATAAGTATAAGTATATACATGTATAAATAAATACATATATACGCCATTTACATCTTTTGAAACGCAATTGCTAATTTATACAAATTGATTTTCTTTATTCAATTGAAAAATTATACAAATCGTCAAAAATACAATAAAGCGAGACATGGTCAAAACAGACATAGCAGCAAACAGGAGAGTTATACAGAGATGAAAAATTACAAATACACCGAGTAAAAATTTGCCAGATATTTCTAACGTTTGACCGCACCTCGATAGAGATGGGAAAAGCCAAGGGAAACAAAAAAATAGCGGCAACTCCAGAGAAAAGATGTTACAAATAACTTTCTTTCTACGAATAACTTTCTTCATACGAGTCGATATGTATGTATGAATGTCCAAGCGGCTCTTTATGGGTTTATGCATTCAGCGCTTATGTAACAATAAAGATAGTTATTGTAAATCTAAAAAGCTTAGCCAAACATGATTCAGCATTTTTGGTTGAGTACACTCTCACAAAGTTAAGAAAAACCTGACTTTTTGACATATACACACATATATATGTATGTACAGTATTAAAATATATTATTCCTTTCTTATTTTATCTAGTTGTGAGGCGCTACAACCAAGAAGTCACGCTTCATTAATCAAATTTTCTTGTAAATGTCAAGTAACTCAAATATGTACATACATTTATTGGGAGAGGAGATTTATGGAGAGAGTTGCTCATACCTACATATAAATGTACATATGTACATACAAGTATGTATGTAATATTGTACTAACATCTATATACGTTGTTTCTAGCCAGATGCAAGCCTGTCCCCCAAAGCATGCAGTCGTGCATACAAATTAAGCTATCACAAGCCGAGAGATGATAATGAGGTGTCGACAAGTGGAGCGGCTGCTGCTCAATACTCACAACGGGAAAAATGACTAAAGAAAGAAGTCTTTGGCTTTTGGGCGACTATGGCGACGAAAACAATTCAGCAATATTTACAAATTTTACAACTTCACTATTTGACGCTGGAAACTCGTAACGTGTTACGCACGTGTAATACGTTAAGTCGAAAGTCCACGCTCAGTTCACGAAAAGACCACGTACCAGTCTCCACCTTAGTGTGGTGACTCGTAAATCACATAGAACACAAGTTCAGCTTTTCCTTTTTATGCGTAATTGACATGTCACAGAATGCTGTGACAATATAGCTTATGCTATAAGTGTATCCTATAAGTGTATGTAGGTGCATACAGTGGAACGCATCATTTTCACAACCGCCATCTGAATCAGGCCTGTCTTCCATTACTCCATTCCAATTCTACAGCCAAATATGTCAAGTGGCGGGCGCTTAGTGAAGCTTTAAATGAGTAGTGAATGGAACTAATGGCACTTCAAGTGTTTGAGCTCATTCAATATGGCAATATGAAAATGGTGCATACATACATACATGTACTATAATAGATTTGTAACACTTGAGCAAGTAATTGGTGATTTGTTTAACTTTTCAGCAACATGGAAATTAAATGATTCGCTAAAAAACTCGCAAGTTTATGTTTGAACTAGTTTTTTATGTATTTGTGTAGTTCCAGAGACCGTGGAAGTTGCAAAATAAATGCGCAATTCAGTCACATTTAAGTACCGTTTCCCCTTCCGAAAATTGTTACATCTGGTTGATTAGGCAAGTAGCATTTAAGCAGAATAGTTATTACGTTCTTAAAGAAAAACAGTTTCACATCGATTTTAGCGACCTTCAAACTTTTCGTTATATTTTTCAATACAGTCTCGGCGATTAGCTTTCATTGTAGCTACACTTCTTTCCAACGCCTGGGGTCAGGAACATGTCAGTTCTGGAAAATATGGAAAATGTTCGAAGTTCATTGTCTTGTTGGAATCACTTTCTTCTTGTACAAGTTTCTTCGGTCGCTGTTGACAGATTTAAAATCATAGACGCCCTCAATAACGGGTGTTTTAGAGTTATACTTCAGTTAGTGAAGGACACGGTAGTGAACGACACGGTAGTATGTGAAAGATCAGAACTAAAATCCAACTATTAAAAATAGTCTACCTATTTATAAATATTAGTATTCGACTGTGATTTTGGGTTAGTTTAAGAATATTTCAAATATATTCAAGTTCATTTTTTAATTACTACAAAACATCGAGACTGGCAACCCTGCGTTGTAAGAGAGCAATAAGCTAACTCGTTTTCACAGGAAAAATACGGATATCACACGGTACAGACGGTAGAAGTAGTGTTCATTTTCATTACGCTCTCATAAGATAGGTTGTATCAGCTGATACGGTTTTGCGTCGGTCACTAACTGAAACATTAGTCTTTTGACAGCTCTTACTTGATTTATACTTGGTTTGCCATTTCATACGGAACAAACTTACTCCGGAACTAAGTTTGCAAATCGTGCAAATTTAATATCAAAATAATCGGTGTGTTTAATGTTCAATCGACATAATCGTCCAGCAAAGTCGGTTTCGCACCACGTGTACTCTAGTAGATAATGCGGATCCTCAAACACCCCGTACAGTGCGCACTGAGAACGTTATTGCTGCAGTGAAGCAGTGTATCGAAGAAGCCCTGAGTGAGTCTATTCGGTATCGCGCACAACAACTTGAGCTGTGGCCATCCACTTAATTGAAGATAGATGAAACTCACTTTTGGTTGAATGGATACGTGCATAAACGAGATTGTCGCATTTGGAGTGATGATGATCCACAAGCCATTGATGAGACGCCGTTAAATAATCAAAAAATCACTGTTTGGTGTGCTCTATGGGCAGAAGGTATTATTGGTCCTTATTTCTTCAAAAATGAAACCGGCCATAATGTTATAGTCAATAGGGCACACTATAAAGCCATGATTAATGACTTTTCGTGCCTGAATTTGAGGATGTTGATGTGGACGACCTTTGGTTTCAACAAGTCAGCGCTATATGCCTTACAGTCAAAGAAACAATCAATTTATTGAAGGAAACTTTTGATGAGCGCATTATCTCGCGTTGTGGGTTAAATAAATATAAATATGTTTTATATGAAGTCGCTTGTCTACGTAGATAAGTCCTACACGATAGACGTCTTGGAAGAGAATATTCGGCGCGTTATTACTGACATCTAGCCCCAATTGTAGCAAAAAGTGGTTGAAAACTGGACCTCTCGGCTGAAATTTATTCGAGCCAGCTGCGGCAATCACTTGCCCGAACTCATTTTTAAAATAAAATAAAAACAAAACAGCCTTTAATTCAGCTTACTGTTTCTTCTGTCAACGACGTTGACTGTCGATTGATCTAATATGACAAATAGTTTTACTTGAAAATACGTGAATTCCTTTGTGCTAGTCCAACTTATTTTGAAATTTAAAGCTGCGCGAATAATTTTGCTCTAGATCCCACCAAACATAGCAAGCAAAACTACTGCAGTTGAGGACCGAAAAACTTCTTTTTCGTGGAGCCAGAGCAATCTCTTAATGTGACAGTTTCTGCTCCTGAATGCTACCTTATTTATTCGCAGGGTACAGAAGTATATACATATGTATAAATATAGGTAGTTTCGCAAAAAACTAAGCCCAGCAATAAGTTTCGCTAATCACTAATCCCGTTATGGTTCACAA